GGCTAAGTACGTGTAAGGGTCATATCTTGATACTCCCACTCGAACGCAAAACGCTAGAGACGCGGGCGTGCTCATTCAACTGGGTCTTCGTTTGACGATGAACGAAGAGCAAGCGAGTGTCGATGGTTGCGGAAAAGTTTTCGTGGTAGGGATTTCGTGAAGATGTCGGCAATCATATCATGTGTGGGTACATAGGGAATGATGATGGTGCCGTCGCTGACCAGATCTCGAACGAAGTGATAGCGGACGCGAATGTGCTTGGCCCGGTCGTGGAATTGAGGGTTTTTCGTTAGTGCGCGACTTCCATTGTTATCACCATATAACGTGGTGGGGGTGATCAGCGAGAGGTCAAGACCAAAATCGCATAGCAGCTGGCTGAGATGGATCTGTTCGCGGGCCGCGTTAGAGAGTGAGATGTATTCAGCTTCAGTAGACGAAGTCGCAACGACGGATTGCTTTTGGGAACGCCAACTGATGGGGGAACCGAAAAGAAAGTAGACATAGCCCCCAATTGAGCGACTGTCGTCTTTATCAGACGCGAAGTCAGAATCCGAATAACCGATGAGTCCTTGGTTGGACAAACCAAACGTTAGGGAATGATGTGTGGATCCACGAAGGTAACGAAGGAGATGGTGAAGCTGGCGGTAGTGGTCTATGCCAGGGTTACTCAGATATTTTGACAGCGCCGATACTGCATATGCAATATCGGGACGACTAACGCGCATGGCGAAGTTGAGTTCCCCAACGACACGCGCGTATGGCATGTGCGCAAATTGTTGGATTTCGGCTTGAGTGAGGGGTGCAGATGACTTCGTCAAGGAGATCCCTGGAACCATGGGGGTAGATACTGGTCGACAATCTGACATCCGAGTTTCACTGAGAATCTGTTCGAGAAAGGAGGATTGGTTGACGGTAAGGTGCTTCTTAGAGCGATCTCGTGTAATGTGCATTCCTAAGAAATGACGCGCTTCACCAAGGTCCTTCATTTCAAAACGTTTGCTCATCTCCGATTTGAAACCGTTAAGGAAATCCCGACAGTTCGATGCGAGCAACATGTCATCGACGTAAACAAGGAGCCAGATGGTCTTGTCATCTTTTCGTAAAACATACAGACTATAGTCTGCTTCGCTACGAACAAAATTAAAACCTTCTTTTCGCAGGAAATCATCGAGTGTCTTGTTCCATTGACGACCGGCTTGCTTGAGTCCGTAGATGGCCTTGAGGAGTTTCCAGACCCAATCTGGATGCTCAGGGTCTTCGAAGCCTGGAGGTTGACGCATGTAGATTTCTTCGTCAAGCTCGCCATTGAGAAAGGCGGTCTTCACGTCCATTTGATCAAGTTCAAGATCAAACTTAGCGACCATGGAGAGTAGTGCACGTACGGTGTCGTATTTTGCAACAGGAGCAAAGGTGTCGGTGTAATCTAGTCCTTCGATCTGTGTGAAACCCTGCGCAACAAGGCGGGCCTTGTGGCGGGCAATCTGGCCATTTTCGTCATACTTGTGCGAGTACACCCACCGTGAGCCGACTGCTTTTCTCCCTGATGGGAGTGGTGTTAAGACACCCACTCCTTTTTCTCCCAACGAAGCTAACTCTTCATTCATTGCGCTTTCCCAATGACCCGAATCCATTGACAAGCGAGCGGCAGCTATCGTTTTGGGGGGAAGCTTCCGTCCATCAATCTTGTTGCTGTCCGCCAAGGATACATGCTTCGCGGAGTGCTCAATGGTGACATCGGGGGTAGCACTAATACTAAGATTTTCTTCTTCAACAACCTCCTCCTCAACAGTGACCGGTACATAAGTCCAACGCCGCTGTACTGGGACATGTTTTGTTGGGATGGCAACAGTTTTCGGGACTGCTGGTCGCGCGTCAATGCGTTGACGTGTCGAACGTCGTGGCTCAGGAGATGGTACCGTTTCTACCGGAACTTCAGCAGGGACAGGGAGAACATTGTCGTTCGACTGCGGGAATGGCTGTGGAGGTTCGGGGATGAGAGGAGCAGAAGTCGGAAGTACTCCCACTGAAACGGTACTGGGTCCTGGTAGTGTAATACCGGAATCATCTTCTCCAGGTCGTGTGGTTCTGAAGCCGTCTTCTGATATCGGCAAATCATGTGGCAATGCGAGGGTGGGCTGCTGCATTGCAATGCGCTGGTTGTGTAATTCAACGAGGGGCGAGAGAACTGAGTTGGGTGTGCCGTAGAAGAATTTTTCATCAAAAAGGACATTTCGAGAGCGCACCGTCTGTCGTGTCGCTGGATCCCATAGAAGATATCCCGCATCTTTGACGTGCCCCAGTAGGAAGCACCGTCTCGAAACAAAGTCGTACTTGTGGCGATTGTCGTCTGGGATGTGAGCATATGCGAGGCAGCCAAACGGACGTAGGTGCGAGACATTTGGTAGTTCACCATAGAAGAGTTCAAACGGCGTTCTGTTGTCAGTAGCTGACGACGGGAGGAAGTTCTTGATGTATACTGAGTTGAGGATGGCGTGGCCCCAGAACGAACGAGGAAAACCACTCTGGTGATGGGCACTTAATGCTCGGGTGGCAATGGTCTGGTGTCCACGTTCGGCAACACCATTCTGTTCGGCTGTATGAGGCATCGTAAGTTCGTGCTCAATTCCTTTACTACGCAGGAATTCAATAGTAGCGTGAGAGACGTATTCGCCACCGTTGTCACTGCGGAGGCGTTTAACTCGTTGCCCTGACTGGTTTTCAATCCAGGCGATATATCGCAGAAGGTGCGAGTGTACCTCACTCTTGTGCTTAATGAGGTAGATAGTGGAATAACGCGAAAAATCATCAGTGAAGGCAACAAAGTATGTTTCGCCGGACGGGGTTGCAGTGTTGACGGGTCCCCAAACGTCAGTGTGAACAAGTTCAGCGACGTGCGTTGCACGGTGTCGAGCATGAGACGGGAACGGCAATCGTTTTTGTTTGCCCATTAGGCACGACGGACAGTCAATGTGGTCACCAGGTCCTGTAGACTCGTCTAACAGGTTAAGTGACAGTCCTAATACAACCTTCTCAGCTTTGCGCAAGGTGGAGTTTGCGGCATGGCCCATGCGTGCATGCCATACAGCTAGTGGTAATGGCGTAGCCGAGGTGGACCTGGTGGCAAAGGCCGTATGGGTGTGCTTGGCTCGAAGGTAGTATAGACCGGCAGAGCATTCCACACGTGCGATCACAGTCTTATCAGCACGACGCATTTGTCCTCCTTCAGCATCCGTTTCGAAGAAAATTCCCTCCGACGCTAGAGCAGACACTGATATCAGTGTGCACCGTAGGTCTGGTACGTGGAGGAAAGGGAGTTCGATAGACTCATGTCTTCCGTCGAGCACTAGCGTGATGAATCCCCAACCTGGGGCAAGAACAGTATCGTCATTCGCAAGTTTCACGATTAATGGAGGGTTGTAAGTTCTGTAGCGAGTGAAGAGGGAGTGATTGGATTCCATATGTGCGGTGGCGGCAGAGTCTACGTGGAATTGAAAAGAAATAGTGCTCGTATTAGAGAAACTAGCAGAGTGTGTAGGAAGACGAAGAAACGATGGAATGCCGTCAGGTTGTCCTGGTAGGGGAACTGATATGTCAGTACCTTGTGAAGGTGAGGGGGGAATGCACGCTGACGTGTTTGATGAGTCGGATTTTGCTAGACGAGCACGGCAGTTGTTCCAGATATGGCCTGTGCGCTTGCAAGATCCGCACGTCGAGCGCCACGACAACTCCCATTTATCTCCCTTGGAGGCGTCAAAATCCTTCGGTTTGGCACGCTCAGTAGGTTTACCTGCTTTCGCCACCCTAGCAGCCATGGCTGTGTGGTGCGCATGTGGGTTTGCAGAGCCGAAACTTGCATAATATTGTTCCGAGTTCCTGATCTGGCTGATGACTCCTTCCAGCGTTAGCTTCCCGGTATTGGCGTCAGCACTATGGAGTATGAGCTGGGAAAGCGGCGCATAGAAGTCGGGAAGGGCACGCAGTAGCGCTTGGACAAGGGTATATTCGTTGCACTTCCATTCGATGGATTCAATGACCTTGAATTGGGCCTTGATGTCCGTGATCTCCTTAATGGTCTTGGTAAGAGAGTCGCTATCAGATGCTTTGGGAAGGTCAAAGATACGGCCCATGAGGCTCGTAAAGCGGATGCCAACAGACGCCTGATACTTGTCTTCTAGCGCTTTCCAGATGACGGCTGGATCAGTGACACCCATGAAGTGGATGAGGTCACTTGAGTGTACCGTCATACCAAGGAGTCCTTTGGTTATGCTTTGGCGTTCTCGGAAAGAAATGACGTCCGCGCTCGCATCATGTGCCGCGAGGCGTTTGTTGAAGTCAGCCTCAGTCTCAGTGGTGCTTCTGGTTGGGCGCGGAGGACCCTTCTCATCTCCTGAAAGGAGGTGCCAAAGGTTGAAGAGCGAGAGCCAAAGGTCCATGGTCGTTACCCACGAGGTGTAGTTGGAGCCATTGGCGTCCAGAGGAGGGTGAGGAAAAGATGTTGGAATCCGGATGTTGGACGACGATATGGTGGACATGACAGGTGTCGAACGATGTGTCGGCGATGGCGACAATAGAATGGGAAGATTCAATGGGTGTGGTAACGAGCGAGTTGGTACGACAGGCGTTAATGGCGGCGATGGCGGCAAGGGAATGGATAAGATCCGCAGGTCAAGCGGGGATAGAGGGCGACCTTGTTCCAGTTCGGAAAAGGTCGGAGAGGCTCAGATAAGGCGAGTGGAAGCGAGAAACGAATGTATGCCTAGTCTGAGCCAGGGCTCATAACCTATCAAAGGTGAAGAGACTCGGACTAGAGAAACTAAGGGCGAGAACAGAACTCAGTCTTGGTTCAAAAAGACTGAGGGAGATTGTTCGACGAGAGGAGGAATTAATACGTTTGATTGGGACGGAGAGTCAATAGGAAACGTGTATGACGCATGGTAGGAGGAGTGTTTGTGTATGTAAAATGAAAAGGCTAAGTACGTGTAAGGGTCATATCTTGATACTGTAATGCTGTCGGGTAAGCTTGACACTTGCGAGACCTCAGCGGTTTTGACTCGACTGAAACATGCTGCAAGTCATTATAATCACTCGATTGTATGCCATGTATCAGCGATCCAGAAAAATCCTGATATTCCTCATTGTCACCTTCCTGGCTGTCAACATTTTTGACAGGGTGGTCACCGTAATGGTAACGATGCAAGTCTCAGGGGGTGAGCTCAACTGTGAATGAAAATAAATGTGCATGGGGCTCATTGATGAATACCAGAGGAATTCATTCTCTCTGGCGCTTATCTGTGCGAGGTTGACTATCCAGAAGATATCCCACTTCTTATGTCTGCTACTTGGATACTCAGCACCGCGTGGGAGGTCCTCACACTATGTCTCGCAATCTGGATTGCGGTAAAACACTTCCGTGAAATGCGACAACATTCGGAAGGAGGGATTTTCGAGGACTGTTTCATGGTGTTGATGAAAACTCACGTGGTTTACTTTGCGAGGTGAGCTCATGCTGTGATTGTTGTTGCTTTTTACCACTGAAGTGTCGGACATGGTAGTTTTGTTGCTGTTTCTTGCTTCGAGCTCATTGCTGATTTCACTCCAATATTATTAACGGTATGTCGATCTTTCACTTGCCTATGCACGCTACCACAATTTATCATTTCTATAGTCCAATTCCATGGGCGCTCAGATCGTTGTGGGTTTTATTCAGATCTCGCAGGTCGTACAGGTGTTTGTGCTGGGACCGCGCCTGATTCTTGGTCTTCGAGAATACCGTGCTAAGCTGGCTGCCGATGCCGACGAACCGATTGTCATGACCTCAATCGCTTTCCAGGAGCGTGTGCATATATCGACTGGTAGTGGTGTGTGATACTTGGCGAAGTTAACGGCTGCCTCGTACTCTAAAAGGGCGGGGGATTTTGCTTTTATTTATTCCCACTTTCGCGATGGTGTTTATTTGCTAGATTTCAAGGAGACATGCACAGTTTATTTAGTTAAGTGAATTGCTATACGTACTGACAATATTCCAATCAATATGCTGGTTATTTTTACTGGCCCTAGCTGCCCACACACACTTGCACCAACTACTGGTCCTCAAATGGGTGTGCGAGAGCCAAGTTGAGTGACAGTGCACCGCTTCAGCTTCTTAGCGATTTGTCCTTGAGTCATCTTCTTGCTTCATTCAACGTCCCACCCTTGTCCTCTCACCTGACTCACGCCAACCGACTTACAGAAGATTAGCTGTGTTTAGGATTGTTGCTGAAGTACTACTGAGGGATACATGCATCCTATTAAACATTCTGATACGAAGGCCACGAGTGAATCCGAATGCTCCTGCTCATTTCTGCAGCTGAGAACCAGCGCTGGAGTCGGGGGAATTAGAAGGAATCTAGGGTATGAGTATGCCACACCAAACATAACACGGCTCGTTGATGTGACGCACCCAGGAACGGACATGAAGGCACCAGCACAAGCGATCGTGCAGGAGTCGAGCATCTGTTGATTGATTTCAGGTGGTGGACGTGATAGCGAGTTCGAGACAAGGAAGAGCCAGTCTCTCGATGTATACCTGTGGAAAACCGCGAGCTTCCACGTATCCTATAATGACAACTTTTTGGGCGCTCTTGTGCAGTTCTAGTGGTAAGCGGAAAAGAGCAGCCACATGCTGCACAGCCGCTGCACGAAGTCATTATTCTAACCCTACTCTCGTACCTCATTTTGGGGTAGAATTCCAATGTTCCAATCTTCGACTTACAACCTTCAGCCTCAACACTCACCAGTGCCCACTAACACCACCAATTCAGTCGTTCGCAACCGCTCCAATCACTTTCAAAGTCTATCTATAGCACCGACCACCCTGGTGGCCTGTTTGTGCTAGTCATACTCCGGCCGATTGTTCTGCTTAGAGCACCTGTCAATATTTTATCACTTCTACATGCCTGAATTCTTCTTCACAGTAGTAGCCCCTCCCATGCACATGTGTATTCTTACAATTTCCAATACAACATATTTCAAAGATCATGCACGTGGAACATTCCCTTCTCCGATGCTCTCATTTCTCCCAGAGCACCGTACACCACAATTTGGAATGGCACTCTCGCACATTCCAAGTTCGATATCCTCAATCGAAGCCTCAATGCCGATGCCATTTTGAAGACTTCTTGGTCGCATCCACGTAAACGCTTGCCAAGTTGTGCTACGTCCTGGAGGTGATCTCTACCACCAGCTAGCTTCATCGAGAGATTCACCTCTCACTGTCTCGAACCGCCATCACATCATGATCCACAACCCGACATCAAGCAGCAGATGCTCGACTCCTGCACTATCGCTGGTGCTGATGCCTGAATGTCCCATTCCTGGGTGCATCGCTGTCACCATTCTGAACCACGTCGGCTATTTTATGTTTGGTGTGCGATTTACAGATGCTCAACTGAGCCCCCTGGACTGCTTCGAACTCCCCTGACTCCACAGAGGCGCTGGGTCTCAGTTAAAGAATCATGGTCTTCATATCACAATGCTTGAAAGGATACATGAATCCCCCAGTAGTGCTTCAGCAACGAAACGACCCTAATCATATTTATATTCATATCCGTATTTCCACCTCGTTGAACAAACGTGAAAGGCAAGCTCGTCCACAAGCATTAATCAACTCCAGCCTCAAGCCTCATCAAGTATCCCTCACGTCATCAAGCTACACATGCACGAACGTGCTTCGCGCACCTTGTAATCACCTTGAATGGATCATCATCTGTAAGCCAGCCGGTGTGATTCAGGTGAGAGTGGGACATTGAATGAGGCGAGCAAACGGATCGAGAATGGATTGCTGAGGAACTGAGGCAGTGCGCTGTCAGTCGACTTTACTCTCGCGCGCGCTGCCGAAGCAATCATGTGAATGATTGTCATCGCACAGAGAAAAGGACGAATGGTTGGTGCAAGTGTGGGTGGGTAGCTAGTACCAGTATATTGAGGATATTGATTCAAACGTCGTCCGCACGTATAGCAAATCGCTTGATTGAATGATACAACGAAAACTTTGTATGTATCCTTGAAATCGGGCGACCGAAAAACTTCGATTAATACCTTCATGAAAGTGGGAATAAATATCCTGCTCCTTGCAGCACCAGACGACTGTCAACTTCACCAAGTATCACACACCACTGCCAGTCGATATGTGCACACGCTCCTGGAAAGCGATTGAGGTCATAAAAGTCGCTGCGTCGGCATCGGCAACGAGCTTGGCGTGGTATTCTCGAACGCCAAGGATCAGGCGCGGTCCTAGCACACATATCTGCACGACCTCGAGAATCTGAAGAACCCCAGGCATAATAGAGTAAGCGTCCAGGGAATTCTCCTATAGAAACGATAAATTATGGTAGCGTGCTTAGGCAAGTGGAAGATTGACATACCTGTGAGGATATTGGAGTAAACTCAACGACGAGCGTGAAGCAAGAAACAGCAACAAAGCTACCACATCCGATCCTTCAGTGGAAAAACAGGAAGCATAATCACTCGGAGCTTACCTCGCAAAGTGAACTACGTGACTTTTTATCAACACCGTGAAACAGTCCCTTACAATCCCTCCTGCCGAATATTGTCGCAGTTCACGGAAGTGTTGTACTGCGATCCAGACTGCGAGACACAGCGCGACGACCTCCCACGCGGTGCTGAGTATCCAAGTAGCAGAGACAAGAAGTACGATATCTTCCGCATAGTCACTCTCGCACAGATAAGTGCCGGAGAGAATGAATTCCTCTGGTATTCATCAATGAGCCCCATGCACGATTATTTTCATCCACAGTTGAGCTCACCCCCTGAAGACTGCATCGTCGTCATTACGATGGTAACTCCGTTAAGAATGCTGACAGCCAGGAAGGTGACAATGAGAATTATCAGGATTTTTCTGGATTGCTGATACATGGCATACAATCGAGTGATTATGATGACTTGCAGCATGTTTCAGTCAAGTCAAAACCGCTGAGGTCTCGCAAGTGTCAAGCTTACCCGACAGCATTGCATATGCCACATCAACTGTCCAATTCCATACCATGTACGAAATTAAGCCTGACGAATGCAGTGAGCGACCAGCCTCGGGTAGCGTACATTCCAAAAAGACTCACATCTGTGGCAGTATAGCACGACAGTCATTAGTGAACCAATAAATTATCAAAGAATCACACCCACTCCTACAGCACACTACGGTTAATTGGAGAGAATGGCAGTGATATGTGCAGAAGACTCACTGTATCTGACAGCAAGATGGTCGGAACACTCGCTGAATGCCATTGGTCAGACGAAGCAAAGACAACGAATCTACTGAGACATACCCAACATACACATGCTGATTATGAGAGATAGACGATTAGCACGACACCGATTGTGTAGCCCTCCGAACATACGTAGCAGATAAGATTCCAAGGTAGCGCGCCTAAAATACTTTCAAGTCAGCACAACATGGCAACCGTGACAAATAAGGTACGTGCACAGAGATACAGAACTGTCATGAAGGACCAGCGTTGTCTCTGGAATCAAACATATTTTCGTGTGTTTCTCTGACACCAGACTCTACTCACCCAGATCAGTTGCACCTATAAAACCATTGTCAGCCAGATGGCTGATCTGGTCGTAGCATCGACATACCTCTTGTCCAAGTGTGAGTGCTGAAAGTACTTGTAAGAAATCAGCAGTCCTTGGATATCATCATGCTCACCCCAATCATATGTCATTCCAACGAAGGCGGCAACTGCAAGGCAGCAGTAGAGGTTAGATTGAAATACTGGCAGCATCAAATCCGACTACTCTCTACGAACCTGCAAAATAGCTAAAAGTACGTTGTGCATTGATGGTCGGCCACCAAGCGGGATCATCTAAGACTATAGTCATATTGGTAGAGAATTGGGTGCGGATAAGAAGCAAACTTGGTAGATTAGTATGACAATAACATTCGCACTATATAGTGCGAAATGAGATCAATGGGTGATATCTGTGCAATCCACGTAGATGAGGCAGTTGTATGGTAATCAGGCTGTCGTACCATAAGGATGCTAGTACTTGTGCAAAATCTTCCATTTGCAATGTGGATATGAAAGTCGTAACGTTCACTCCGTTTGATGCCGAGTTTTTGTATTCCTTATATAGTCAGCTCGGGACCATGCCTATCGGAGTGCCAACTCTTCGCAAGCAGGCGAGTATGAGATTGTGAGGTACGACCACTTGTTAATAAATGAGGACAACCCGAAGAAAGGCAAGCTTGGGCTACACACCTTTTACACATGCACTAGCGAAAAGCTTAGTACTAGTTGTTAGCAAACAATACTGAGGCGCTGACACGGGGCACGATAGTATCGCTTAGTAGCTAAGCGCTAATCACCGGATCCAGAGTGACTCACATGTGTGCGAGAAGTCAAAAAGTCAGTGGAACGTATTGCATCAAAGGTGCAAGATAATGACCATAGCGCTGGTGATGCCTATCATGATGTACGATTAATCAGTCATAGCACCAAAAATTCTTCTTGCGAAGACGTGAAATGAAGCACAGGTTGTCATAGCAGTGATGAAAGAACCGTCAATAAGAGAGAAAACTGTGAGGGCGCAGCAACACAGCATGGATAACGATAAGTATGTAGAAGGGTAACTTGCAAACTTGCAAACTTTACCTTGCTTATCTGAGTTTCAGATCAGTGTCAGGTAAAATTGCAAAGGCCCTGAAATATTCACAATTATTTGTATTGGCAGGGAATCATTCGAAGCTGCTAGACTTAGACCCGGCCAGACACACCTGGCTCTCCATGATGGCGCTGCCTTGGTGGTCGGTGAAGAGGTGAATTTAGAGACAGGACTTCCCATGCGTCTAGCATGAACGAAATCTTGAGTACAGGGTATATCGCAACCTATTGAGCACCTTTTCTCTCAGCACCGACGCCTCTTAGTTGTCCTCGGAATGCCAGCCAAGGAGGTTTATGGAGGTCCGAGAAGAAATTACATGTACTGATAGACACGTTCACTCAGGCACGCACTCACTGCAAAGAGCTGAGCAAGTCGATGACTGCTCTGAATGTCGTCCACGGACCTGGTGGTTGTTGCAAAGTAAGACAAATATAAACCGTAAGATAAAGGTCGAGGGGCTTATCTCCTATGAGTGGTACGGGATGCATGACTCTAGGAGTGTGCCGGTGACAAGACTTATGTATTGAATATTCGCGTGAACCACGGAGAGACGAAGTTCCTGTGAAATATTTACGAGCAGTTAGTAATATATCAGGCTTGCAGCCAGGTTGCAGATGGATGCTAAGCTCTTTCCATATTTTATTTGATAGAAAGAAAGGCGCAAGGGAACAGGGCGAGTGCAATGGCGATCAGGAACTGTCGGAAGGGCATCGAATATTAAAGTACAACTGAGTGGGAACTGGCCGGTGAATGCATGCGACCATTTTGTCGCTGTATAGGTGCACTATGATGATTGAAGTTGACCATGTCCTATTGCATTCTAGTAGGCAGATAAAAACAAATATTGAAGTGTTCGATCCTGGAGGAGTAGCTAACGTCGGAGTTCGAATTCATATGTTAGGCGTAGGCTATAGCCCTTATTCGTGCCCCAATCAACTCGTTATCGACTGGCTCTCGAACGAGTTATGCTTGAAATCCACTTCGTGATTGGTGACTGTCATCTCTAGAACCTAGATTACAAACAATGAGGACGCACTGGGAGGAAAGAAGGCACAGGCATCGCCATTACACCCGCAGGAAGCCTTCAAATCATAAAAAATGCTCATGCAATGAAACAACGATGATGATATTCTCGGTGAGCACTGGCCAGCTGAGTATCAACTGTTGGCACGCCATCAAAGTCAGAGATAAAAAATTAACGGTCAACTCAGGCTGCCCAATGCACACCTCAGGACTCAAGCTTACTACCGTCTGTTTTCCACGATCAACGAGGCGTGTATCCAATAAATTCTTTAAAAGTGAAAGTAGGTGATGATGTCATCATGCGCCCCGGTCTGGGTTCATCCAGCTGGAGTTGTTTGATGGTATAGAGATATTTCGAGTCAAGGGTATGTGTAGAGACCTGAGGCCGCGACTGACCTCCATCAGTCATTTTTCAATTTTGACGTTTTGAGAAGGAACGCCGGGACACGAAGTGTGACATAACCTGCATCTATGCAGCAACGAATGATATGATGTATAACCTACGCTTCGGTACAGGGTAAAGGATCTCAGAGACACCAGGAAAGGATGAAAGCACAGCCCCTTCGAAGATATTTGAATGACGAGCCTTTTTAATAATTGATTACAGAATATGCCTCTTACAAAAAGCGAAGTATCTGTACCGTCGCGACACATCACGGTACTACGATCCAACCTGTGCCGCATCCAACGGCACCACTCAGCAAGAAGCTTCTCCACCGTAGCATCAATCGCCTGAGGAGTAGTCGTCGATGCCCAGCGATTCACGTTCCTATCAACCAAGAACTTCTCAAAGTTCCACTACGAGTGGGAAGTTGCGTTAGCTGCATGCACATCGACGATCCGACCCCACATAACGAACCTTGATTTTGGTGAGGCCCATAAGGCCAGGCTTCCTTTTCTTGAGCCATTGGTAAACAGGGCTCGTGTTGTCGCCGTTTACGTCAGACTTCTTCATAAGAGGAAAGTTTACGCCGTGATTGAGCTCGCCAATGGCGGCGTCGCCACCAGGCTCTTGTCCGCCAAACTATTGGACAGTATTGAGCTCTGTATCGTAGTGAAACGGTGCCTGGAGCAATGCAGACATACTTGATTGCATGGGAAGCCAAGAGTGACGAAGTCGCGTTCCTTGTACTTGTCGTACAACGCTTGAGGCCTGAAGGCCTAAGCGTCCTTTGTCAGTTGCGTATCAACGTCAAGAACCATCATAGACTGCACCTTTGTATTGAGAAGTGAAGCCACTGAAGATTCCGAAGAGTGAATCCCTTGTAGGTCTGCCATAGTACGGTTACCGACTCACCACTTCGATGCAACATCGACAATCAAGACAACCTTCCCTTTGAGCTATTCAAAGTCATATGCTTTCCCGCTAGGCAGCTCCGTTTTCAAATTATAAAAAGCATTTCCAGAGGAAGAAGACATCGTTCGTCATGAAAGTGAAGGTAGTAGTTGGAGACGTGAGGATGCATTGGTGACGCACCGTCAGAATGGCTGAAACGACCAGCAAGTTCCATTGAGTGTGCTGTGGTAATAATATTCTAGAGATCTGATGTTGGAATATCCCTGACTTCCTAAGTCAGGTTCTGTAGTACTCAATTGGCCCTTTCTCTGCAAACGATCTTGCATCAGATTCCCACGATTCCGCTGACGCTTGAGTTCTCACGGTTGGAGAACTCGAAAGTTTCGTTCGTCCGTCCGTCCTACCCATGGCCCTCCGGGCATAACTCCTGCACAACGGGTGCCATCTACTCAGGTGCAAGTAGAACGGGCCGACCCTGGCCTGACGAAAGCATCTGTCTGGACAACAACCGTTGGCATCAGTGAGCCAAAAATTTCGAACCATCTCACTCAGGCTCATTACAATTTCCAATTGGTTGCATGACCCGATCACTTTACTCAGCCATCGCTTTTACATGTTGTGCCATTCTTATCCCAGTCAATAATGTATCCTACAACCTCAAGAACGTCCCTTCGACGGAACGGGATGCCCTTTCCATTTTGACCATCCGGGTTGTGAAGGGTTCTTTCCTCTTTGCACACATTGGTCGTGGTCTCGTACGTGATCTCAGCGCTCATCATGGTTTTCGTATCTGCAATGATATTGATGGTTATCAGTAGTGTACGGTCAATTTGGAACTGTCCGAAATTCACAGGGTAAATTTACAGTGCGTCCAGAGGCCTTCAAATTCACCACTGTGAATTACCGTAAATTAACATGTCTGTAAATTAACGCTATTTTACAGGTGAATCAGGTCAAATGTACTGTGAATTACAGTGAATTAGGTGAGTTATTCAACTTTCCACTCATCCCAAGCAGAAGGGTCAGGGACGGATGGAGACAAGGTTTTTGCGGCCTTCTTTGTTGGTGCAGAATCCGACTGGTGCACACAAATCAATACCGCTGGATGCCGCAAGCACGAACAAATCTTTCTCCACTGTCCTAAACTCTGAAAGAGCAGCTGGATCATCCAACCAATCTGCACCATTGTCAAATTCTGCTGAGTCCGAGTCTGAGTCCGAGTCCACTGTCCCTGCTTCAGGTGGAGGAGGCATTCGACCAGCAGGAGGCAAATCTTCAGCGGACCGCTTGCCAAGGATAGTGGATTCCATATCATGCCACTTGACGAGAGGTTTGTATGGTGTTTTTAGTTTCTGTGTAGTCAGTATGAGACTGAGAACTTAACACGCGAAAAAATGTTACTCACATTAGAATCAAAGGAATGGTTTTGGGGAGATTTTGAAGATAAAGAGATAGTAACTGTAGCTTATTTCTTGTTTCACAATTCATGGTTGCGAATGTTATGCCCTAGCCCTAGTGCAGATACTTTGCGAGATTCACAGATTCACCACCACGGAGACGCCCATCGGATTGGCAACCTCCAAATTCACCCAAATTTACACCCCCAAAATGCCCTTCGAGATTCACATGCTGATTAACGCTAATTTACAGGTGTAAATTTACGCCTGTAAATTTACACCCCTCTATTTGACCGTACACTAGTTATCAGGATGTTTTCCGGGAACATCCGAATATTGGCAATTTGCTGACCTGTTCATTCGGGACGTCCAGGATGTCCGGGGCAGGCGGACCCGGCATGGATGGTCGGATGACCTGACCTTTCGAGATTTCCGGTTTCTACCGCGGTTACTCCCGAACCACCGCTTTTTGAATGAGCGCCCACTCTTGGTTTTCGCTCAGCTTGTCTCTATTCCGTGTGTTATCAGTCGTCTGTGTGCCCCCCCTGGAATGTGAGTTGAGCATGTCCTGTTTCTCATTTGCGAACTGAAGCTTTTGCAGGCCGTTTGTCACGAAGGCTCCATGCCGTGCGGCTCGAGTGGTCGACGAGCACGACTGCCCACCGCCTTTGATCCCCCATGATATAAATGATTATCCTGTATACTATGATACACTCTATTACCCGCAATATCACACCCATCACTTTGACACCCCCCAAAACTTTTGCTTGTGGCTGTTCAATTCGCTTACCTCCCATCACCATCAGTGCCATGCTTGTTCTGTTGTGTTTCGCGGTTGTGTTGTGTTTGACGGCATCTCGATTGTCGTTGCGCATTCCTTAGCCTCCATATCCGTGTCTTTGCATCAGTTCGAGGCATCCGGATATCGCCACTGTGTGATACTGCACTGGTTATCTCGTGCTCGGAACGTGGCTGTTTCCACCCTTGTGTCAAAGTCAGATGAGTATCCGGCTTGGTTCAGTCAGAGCGAGCAGACTATTGTGAATCGCCTGTCGGGTCTCCTCGGGCCTGTGCTCGCCGATGCTGCCCAGTTGCTTCCCTCTGTGGAAGGGGCCGGAAAAAGGCTGATCATGTTAATGTTATCGTAGGACACTTTGTTCAGGCTCGCGCTGTATTGATTGCTTTGCCTCGCTCGGCCATCGACGAAGCTCTCTCAGATGTTGTCCTTCCTTCTGGCTGCGACCGCCGATTGGTTCCTCTCCTGTCTGCACACTTCGCCCGCGTGTATGGTGATCAGGTCGCTGAGGTGCTGCGGCGCCCCCCACCAGGCTGTTATGCATGTGACAACCTGGATTGTTCGCGTGTTCCATGGTCTGCCCTTTCCATCTAGTGCTGCCGTGGTTCGGTCCAGAACTACGGTCCGAACCTGACCAATGGTCAGGTTCGGCCTTGGTTCGGTCCGTGGTCCATGATTTGGGGCGGACCGGACCTGAGTGAGGTTCGCGGTCCACCATTTGCCCGAACGGTTCTATGTTGGTTCGAACCTTCCCTGAACCGCAAGAAGTTCTGCCACATTGTCGAAGCGTGTTTTGACACTGCCTTCGATGATCCGCCTTGGCCTCACGGATTCTCGACCTTCGATACTTACTTGTTTCCGACAAATGCAGAGGCTCATTGACAAGGTAAGTCATGACATGCACTGTTAAAACTGAACAGTGTGAGCATTGTGCTCGTAATGACCATGTCCTCACCCAGATCCTTATCATACCAACACCCTACGATGCTATTACGATCCTCCACTGGCTGTTTGTCCACCGGCTGTCTGATTTGCTTGCACATAAAATGTGCAAGCCTCAGCAGGTAAGCAATATATTCAACATGGCTCATTCAGACTCATGCGCTGTCAATGCTGACGGTTCTCTCAAGGATGCCAAGGACATCGTCTTCTACCACGATCCTGATGATTCTGTCCCCCTTGACACCACATCATCTGCCCCCCAGCCATCATCATCTACTAATCCTCCTCAAGATGCCTTCTCTATGCTACTGAATACTGGGCGCAAACCAACACCAGTTACAGCTGGTGCTCGATGATCCATTCGGACCTTTAAGCCATCGGCTCGCCTCTGGGATGCTGAGAACATTTATTCAACCTTGACCTCCACCAGCTCAACAAACCGCAAACGTGCATTGTCTAGTGCTACTGAACTTCAACTTCAACCGGCTCACAAAAAGGTTTTTTCATGTCTATTATCAGACGAGGATAGCCTTGATGACGACGACACTGGTCATGACACTGATCCTTTGGAGGACCAGCCCGAAGCCGAACCTGAAGCCGAAGCCGAAAACGAACCTGAGGACGCCATCCAAGCCACTTTGCCAAAGACTGAACGTACTGCTGACATTCACACTGTCTTCACCCGCCATGAAACACACTGGGTATGCAACCCTTGCAAGTATGTAATTAGAACTGTGTGTATTGTGTTCTGCTAATGTTTGGTAGGGACACTGGTGAACCTGAGAGTAAGCATGTATTTCGAGGAGGTATCTCTACACTGCGGACACACATCAGCTGGTATGTTCTTTCAATGTCATCTCTTACTTTTGCTGATATCTATTAGTAAAAAAAACCACTCTCAGTTCTCGTCAAGAACTCACTGCATATCTGTCTTCACCACTAGAGGAAGCCAACAACGTTGTTGCCTGGTGGGGGCTTCATTCTTTACAATTCCCTACGCTAGCACGTATTGCGCGCGATTATTTGCCCATCCAGGGCAGCTCCGTCCCCTCTGAACAGGCTTTCTCAAGTGGAGGGATCACCTCCACCGTGCGACGCAATGCGCTCGCATCATCCATGTTTGGCTCGTTACAGTTGTTAAAGGCGGCGTATAGGAATGGCCATGTTTCCGCGACAGTCGAGGCAGAAGCTGTGTAGTTGGATGTGTAGCTATGAGTACCTACCTATGTTTTTTTTTTGCTCATTGTAAATAAATTTGGTTCGGTTCACGTTCGAACCTGAAATTAACCGGACCTGACCATTCTGAACCGTTCACCAAGGTCCAGTTCGAGGTTCGTTGAGTCTGGTAGAACCGGACCTAGGTCCGGTTCTCGGTTCTCATCAAACTGCCTCTGAACCGGACTGAACCGGACCACGGCAGCACTATTTCCATCGAGTCTCTCACCCGTTGGCTGTGCACTCTGTCTGTCAACGTGCTAAGCCAGAGCCACGCTGATCCAAGTTGTTGTCCGTGGTTTGTAGGAGGTGAGTGCGTTGATCGTTGTTCGAGCAATCACCACGCTGATCCAAGTCATTGTCTGCCGTTCGCAGGAAGTGAGTGTGTTGAACCTCCTCTGAGCTCGAGCCATGTTGATCCAACTCATTGTCTGCCATTCGTAGCGGGTGAGTGTGTTGATCCTCCTTTGAGCTCGAGCCATGCTGACCGTCGTTGTCGTCCGCCATTCACAGCGTGTTGATCCTCCTTCCAGGGGTCACCGGTCACCGTACATCTGCGGTCAATTGTAGCTATACAGTAATTACTTTTGTGTCTATATTCTATGTAATCAAATATCAATTGTTTTTTCTTGCAACATTGTCTGACTATTGTGGGTGATTTGCAATGCAAAGTTTGAAATACATTTTCTGCAATTCACAATAATTGTGTCTAGTATCAGCTAATTCTTGATAACTATGCAAAATTTACGAGAGGGTAAGAAAGTCCTTCTAAACTACATAATTTTCCTAATTTTCCTAAAGCTGCTAATTAGACATAATTATTGGACTTTATCAAAGATTATCGAAATTTTGGCTGGGAGGTTTTTCCTGATGGCCATCGCAGTGCATCCGCCGTCTGCCTTTTGATGGTCAGCCTGTGTTAAACACCCGGTCACATACTAAGACCAGTAATGGTCTGGCTTGCCATGTCCGTGAACGTGCAATGTATTTGCAGGCTGTGGATGCCGCTGTGCTGGGTGATATATGGCTTTCATACTTGCCTTTTCTTATTCCTAGTGATTTGCCGGGCGATCATTACATTTCAGCCATTCTTGAATGTGAGTATGGCGCTGATGTCATACAATGTCTGTCCCGTGAGCTCTTAACTAAAACTGAACAACGGAAGTTACAGCGACGTGAGGACAAATGTTCGCGGGTCGTTGAGGATGAGCATTTGGCACAGGAGTATCGTCGTGCATGGCTGGTCGTTGTCTCCCAAAAGACTGTCTACTCTTGTCTCAACAACTATTATCAAGCTTCGGAGTGGTCTGAGCCTCCTGTATGTGCTGTATGTGGTCGCTATCAATGGGATTCTGTGGTTGTAACCTTGACAATGACTGATGCTCCGACTTTCCATCTCGAAACTCTGCGTGTTACAGACCGGTTCATCATCCAGAAATGTGTGGTGCAGGGTCTGTCAACTGCGTTCTCGTTTGAATGCCCAATTATTGATGGTCTCATGCTTGAACGTGCCGGCATTGTGGATTGCAGCAGCGACTGCATACACTTGTTTCTGTGTTCTTCGTGTTGCATGTCATTGTTGAAACCTGACAAGGTCCCTTGGTTTGCATTGGCTAACAACCTCTATCGAGGGCAACTTCCTCTGCATTTACAGGATATATCTTGGGTTGAGGAGAAGGTGTGTGCGATCTATCGTGTCACAGCTCATGTGACTCGCTTGTTTCAGTCCTCTGATCCTGCGCAGCCTAAGGTCTTCCATGGAAACACTTGTGCGCATGACATGAACATTGTATCTACAGCTTCGGTCCTTCTGCGCATGCCATCTGATGTCAATGGCCTCCTCAGCATTGTCTTCATTGGACCAGGTAAATTTGATGCCAAATGGCTTGGCACGGTCTTTCGTGTGTGTATACATAAGATCTGGTCTTTTCTTCTGTGGCTCAAGCATCACAACCGTCTGTATGCAGCAATCCCTCTGGACTCGGCTATAATTTCCATGTACCCTGATGATGACATTCTGCCAGGGCTATCAGATAGTGCTGCCGAAGTCCGGTTCAGTCCGGTTCTTGGGCCAAATTTTCCAGAAAGTCTCAGTCTTCGACTTTTCACCCCGATTTGCCCGATTTGTGTTCGTGCCGAATTCTTTCCCACGATTAGTAATAGACAAAGTCTGTGACATTTGTGACTACTATGACACTTTTTTTCAGCCTAGTACCTCCCGACAACCCGACACATACAACTTCGAACCTTTGGGTATAAAGTACCCGTCGTAAATGTCATCACTTCATGTAGACCGTGAAATGGAAATTTGTGTGATGTTCTGTGATTGCACGTTGTTCGTGTGTGGATATTGTTTGCATGCATTCATTTGCAAGTGATTGCATTTCTGCGTCTTTGTATATCGATATTATCGAACTCCCCATATCTCTGTCGTAGCATCACTCGTTTTTGCCTTCATTGCAAGAGATCGTAAGTGTGATTACATGGTATTCCTACCTGCTTACAGTTACTGCTACTACTAGTACTATGAATAAAAACCCTGCTCAGGCTGAGGCTGGGCCTTCTAAGTTCTTCCTCTCTGCCTGTCAGTATACGTCGCAGACAAGCTCAGCAGGCTAATGTGAGGCAAGCTGCTCAAGAAGCCAAAGAAGAAGCTCATTGAAAGAGAAAGGCTCGCCATCTTGATCGAGAAAAGTCAGCAGATGATGCAAGTTCTTCGATGGTAAGTGCCTCTTGTTTTACATTGAATCTAGTTGCCATCCGGTCACATCGTGCTCATCATTGGAAGCAGTGTGCTGTGCGCAACAGCACACAGACGTGGTCGCACGGCTCATTACATGTTTGGTATCCCAATCACCAATGAGAGCATGGACATCCATTCCACTATCCACCTGTTCTCGCCAAGAGCAGATCTCATTTGGAATGCAACTGCTATCATCTGGGATGAATTACTGATGGCAAAAAAGCGGCATGGGAGTGCGTGGACCAGCATTGTCGACGCATCATGAACATCTACAACAAACCTTTCGGAGGGATTCCTGTGATAGGACTGGGAGACTTTCGACAAGTAGGTCGAACATTGTGGTCAGCGTTGAATGAGGAAAGGGAGACTGCGAACATAGTTTACAAATCTTTATTGCTGTAACAAATCAAGATGGACCGTCCGCAGGCGAGCGGACTGCTTGTAATTATATAATCTTTGGCACAAATGGCACAAATGGCACGAACGGGGCAAATGGGGCAAAAAGTCGAAGTCCGAGATGTCCTCAAATTTTCCGAACACCAAACCGAACCATAGGTTCAGTTTAGCCATTTGGTCGAACCCTGGACCGAACGTCACCGAACACGTTCGGGGAGGTCCGGTTCGCGTTCAAACCGGGTTCGACCAAGCTTGCAGATGATGGGCTGGAGCTCCACCATGCCATTCCCAACACCACGAACACCATGCGCAAATGCCCAGTGCATGTCAGCAACTGCTGACATGGCTCAGACGAGTGCGGACAACAGACGAGAGTAGGAGGAGGGAAGAAGACGAGGAGATCTCACAAAGGGTAAGTGGGCATTGGGAATGCTGATGGCATCCCATGCATTAGAGTGTGATGGAGATGGGCCACATACATACGAGGCGATATGAGGAAGGAGTTGGTTGGTGCCGGCGAGTGAAAGGTTGGCCAGTGGTTGTGGCCCAGGGAAAGGAAATGAGTAGGTGTGCGGTTAGCCAAGGTGGGTGCAGGAAGTGGATGCTGTGAGTCCAGCGTAATGAAGGAACAAGTATCTTTATGGATCAAAGTTGTATTCTTAAGTGAATTTAAAGACAAAGAAAAGGACGGCTCACCACCAGCAATCAACCTACTAATCCTAGAGTCCCTGACTTCAAAGTGTCCTGTATCAGGAGTGGGCATCTGAGAGTGAGAAGGAACTTGCGGGACCTGGAATGGATCAGGAGTGGATGGCTGAGGTTGTTGCGGCTGGTCGCGACCAAGGGCAGGAATGAGGGTGACCTGGGCTGGAGAGGTGAGAGAGGTGATGGTATGAGACAGATTATGTCCTTAGTCTCATGCGGGTGTTGCTAATGAGCCAACACATACAAGAAAAAGAATGTAGATGGCCTCACCAATGACAAGAAGCGCAACAGTAATGTTATGGTCATGAAGGATGAAGCTGAAGACAAAGAACATATCAGTCCCCCATCCAGAATCGAGTCTACATGCACGACGTACCTAAATAGTGTCGAGACGAAAATAGGGCCCAATAAATTGAGTAGTGTAGGGCGCTGATAGATGATGATCATGGTGGGGTTCGAACGTGTCTGAACCGGTTCTGGGTAGCTCCGAACCCCGGACCGGACTCAAGGTTCAGTCCAGGGGCCATGCCAGACCTATGACCGGACCTTGAGTCCAGTTCAGAAAGGTTCGGGTTTGAACTGAGGTTCAGAACTGGACTGCAGCAGCACTACTATCAGATCGTGTGATTGAGAACCATGATCTCGACGCCAGCACAGTTTTTGAGCAAGAAATGGCTGGATTTGATGCTCATCCTGCACAGTTGCTGCGTGAAGATCTGGATGTTGATGAAATTGATGGTGCACGGACTGAACAAGTAGTTATGCTGGAGAAGATGGGTGTTTCAGATCCCGAGAGTGACAAAATTAGTGGGCATACATTCACTGCAGCTGCCCTCCATAATTTGTTCTTGTGTTCCACCTCTCAGCTGGATCTTATTGTTCACAGAGGATCTCAAGCAATTACTGAATACCATAATCCAGATCTGCTGGTAGGTATGTATCCCACTCTGTTTCCCTGTGGCATCAGCGGCTTTGAAGATCCATAGAGGCCCACTGCTCTCTCGTTTGAAGTGCAAGCACATTACTACTTAACCCTGGTTGACTGGTCATTCCATTACCATCATTTGTACCTGTTCATAGCCTTGAACATGATTCAACACCGAGCTGCCCATTTGCAGACCTTCTTCATGGTACGTAAATCAAACTTTGATAATGTTGCCCACAAACTCACACAGGTTTCTGCTCAAGTTTTAGATGACCTCGCATTCCAGTTGGAACAGGAACACAACTATTCACAGTTGAGTATGTTGTTAATAGTTTGTTTATCGGTACATCAAGTACCAGCTTACCTAATCATGCAAGTACATAGTCACATTAGAGTTACTCACACCTCAGTCTGCTACACTACAAGTACACGACTGAGGTAAGACATTCATTACTATAGTTCATTCCTTTACTAACTTCACTAGTATACACTCATTTTATCTAGGTTAGTATAAGTCCGCTACACTACAAGTACACGACTGAGTATACACTTGTTTTATCTAGCCTTCCGTTTGTTCCCACATGTCGCAACTTCGAACAAAAGGTTATGAGCCCTGCTTCATATTCAAGCACACAAATAGCCTAGTAGTGACAACTTCCTACCCTCTACACAATGTCCAACAATCTGTCAATCTCGCAAGCCCAACATTCACAAACACAACTCACTGCCTCGTCAGCATCTAGTTTGAAGAAAGTAATTCAAGCTTCAAATTGACTCTATGACATTCTGTCACTAGAGAATGATGGCTCTAACTTTCAGAATTGAAAGTTTCAAGCGAAGAAAGTACTCACAGTGAGGAGACTTTGGAAGTTAGTCACTGGAGTGGAGGTGCAGCCCCCTGCCACAGACCCACATGCACTAAACGAATGGTTAGAGAAAAATGAGGAAGCACATGCACAGATCACACTCACGCTGAAGGATGAACTGCTAAACGGAGTCCCACACACAACATTGACATCTGATGCCTGGACAAAATTGTGCAAACAATACAAGGGAAAGGGCAAACAAAGCATAGCCTACCTGATAGGCGAATTGTTTCGAGGAACTCTGTCAGACGAGTCACCCCTAGAACCCCAGCTCAATTCAATGTGACAGAAGGCACAAGTACTAAACTCACTTGGCCAAGCTCTCGAAGACTCTCTAGTAGCCATTGCTATGGTCATATCACTTCCTCCTTCCTACTCAACTCTCTGAATGATTCTCATGTCAATGAGCGACAAGATCACAATCGAAGGTACTATCAGCCAGATTCTGGTTGAGGAGAAGTCACGTCAAGGTCCAGATTCTCAAACAGCTCTTGTAGCCAAGACCTCAGACAGGTCGAAAGAGAGTTCAAAAATGGATAAGAAGAAGAAACCTGGCAACTGCAACTATTGCAAGAAGCCAGGCCACTGGGAGAGAGATTGTTGCAAGAAACAGGCCGAAAAGGCTAAAGGACCCAGCAAAGCCAAGGATGACGAACAAGATAAGCCAAAGACAGAGTTATCAGCAAAAGTAGCAGCTGTAGTCGAAGAAGACACACCAGCATTGCAACTGTTTGTTGCACATGACTCTAAAGACAAACCTAACTCCGTGGAATGGATTGTCGATTCTGGTGCTTCAGCAAGTATGTCATGCCGCCGAGATTGGTTCAGGACATTTTGTCCAATAGTCCCAGCGCAGCGAGTCGTCATTGGAGACGGAAGGTCCATCAAAGCTACAGGACTTGGTAGCATTGAGCTTGAGGTCAAAGTTGGAAAAGGGAACATGCACCGAACCATACTGCAGGAGGTGTATTATGTCCCCGCTCTAGATGGAAACTTGTTATCAGTGCCATGTTTGACAAGCAAAGGCTTTGAAGCAAGCTTTGACCAACGTACCTGCACAATCACTTGAAACGGGTCCATAGCAGCACTAGCGACATGGCAACAGTCCTTATACATATTGAGAGGATGGACTTGCAGCAGCGAGAGAGCCTATATCATTCAAGGTCCAAGTCAGCTATTAGACACCATAGAACCGATTAGAGCACTCACAGCCTGCTTGTACTCATCAAAGGGATCCATGGAGACTTGGCATTGTCGACTTGCACATACCAATCTCAATTCTGTGAAGAAGCTGTATGGGAAGGATATGGTTAGAGGCATGGAAGTTTCGGGGCCAACAGCTCACAAAACAGATGTATGCAAGGCTTGCCTCGAAGGGAAACAATCCCGTAAACCTATCCTAGACGAATCCCAAGTTGAGAATCCTTGTATTCTGCACAGAACATATTCAGACATATGCGGACCCATGGAAATGACCTCCTGAGGTGGATACCAGTACTTCATGACATTCATTGACGCCTGCTCACACCATCTAGTTGTCAAGTTACTAAAGACAAAAGATGAAGTGTTTGGACTTACAGAATTGTACTTCAAACGAGCAGAGATGGAAACAGGCAAACATGCAAACATATTCCATAGCAATGGTGGTGGAGAATATGGCTCGAAGGAATTTCTAAAATATCTAGAGTCAAAAGGGATCCATTACAAGAAGACAAATGCCTACACACCTCAGGAAAATGGAGTTGCCAAACGAATGAACAGGACACTAGTCAAGTCCACATGTGCATTGCTCAGCGATGCCTCCCTCCAAAAGAAGTATTAGGGAGATGCAATTCTACATGTAGCCTACATCATCAATTGAGTCCCCACATGTGCATTAAAAAGGGATATCACACCTTTTGAAGCATATACTGGAAATAAACCTTCAGTAGCACACTTGAGGACATTTGGATGCAAAGCATATGTGCACATACCAGACAAACAACACCAAAAGCTCGATGCAAAGTCCATCGAGTGTGTTCATCTAGGATATGCCGAGCATTGAAAGGCATATGTCTGCCTGCAGAGGTCAAATGAGCGAATATTGGAGTCTAGGGACGTAGTGTTTGATGAAGGGGACTGTGGAGGGTCAAGCTGAGTGAAGATAACTGTTGATGATACCAAAAATCGCCAAGTCAGTCAACAGCAAACACAATTGAAGCCAAATACCCTACCAGCAGATCCAGATTCAAATGAAACAGGGCAAACACACATCGAGGAGGTTGCAGATGTAGAGAACGAAGACACCCCACAAGACTTTGAGGAACCGGTGGTCCCTACAACTAGTCAGCATGAAACTAGTTCTCAGCAACCGCGACGCACCTCAGCAAGACGTCGCACAATGACAGCAGGCCCTCCAGTTCCATATCCACACCCTGTTCCCCCACACGAAGCCAGACGATCAAACCACGTATGAAAGAAACCAGTCCCTGATGATGATCCTCGTTACTTCATCAATCCATATGAGAAACCAACACTCAAAACTCACCAAGAAGACACCATCGAGAATGAAGAAGAGAAGGGTGCTGTTGTGGATGAGTATGAGAGTGAGAAGGAGCTTGCGGATGAAGAACGTGCTTACCATGCGGTGTCATGCATGGTATGTGATTCATACCATGTCAGATATATATAGAGAGTGATAAGGAAGATATGAGAGACTGTCTAGCCCTCTGTCACTGAGTTACTTCTCCATTTTTCCTTTGATTCATTGTCTTGTATTTTATTTCTCACTTTTCAGGCTTATTTTACCTTGTATTTGTTTCAAGCATGTGACCTTCTGTTTATTTCTCATTGTTTATTTTTATTTGGCTTCTTTCAGCCACCAAGTTTTGTATCTCTATTTATTTCTGACTGTTTATTTTTATTTGGCTTCTTTCAGCCACCAGATTTTATTTGTCATCACATCATGTGACTGGGAAATATTCTGGTTTGTAACATTATTTAAGCTGACTCAACATGTTTAGTCATGATTGGTCATGCTTTATAACAACATTTAACATGACTCAACATGTTCACTTATGGTTTGTCATGGTTTGTAATTTCTTTGTAAGATTACACTGTATTTGTAATGTACTTAGTAATAAGCTGATTCATCACCTGGTTTGTAAGCCACATTCTTACCAATCCATCTGATTAATCATGCTTAGTAAGGGGGTTCCCAAAAGGTATAAAAGGACCCTATTTTCACCCATGAAATCAATCCTCCCACTTGACTCTTATCTCAAACCATGTGAGACCACTAAGACTTAAAGTGCAGGCCAATATAAGTGCCTTGAGGTAATCTAAGATATCATTATCTACTCTAAAGTTATATACTACCTTACAGGGGTTGACTATATAACTTTCGTTATCATTATTCTACTCTGGGTTATATATATACCTTACAGGGGTTGACTATATAACCATTGAACAGCTCTCATTCTTAAGCTTTACGTGTATACAAAAGACTCTCTCTTTCAATGGAAAGTGAGACACATATCTAAGGACGACAAAGTTGAAACAGACTTTCATAGGTTGAAACACGACCTGCTAGGCTGAAACAAACCTAACGAATTATCCAGAACACAGAACATTCCACAACACTTCGTATAAGACTACACAAGAAGAGGACAACAAACTAAATCCTCCCAAGAACTCACCACATTACCTCCCATGAAGTAGAAAAGTCGGAGACCGTGGACTTAAGGACTGGCAAGAAGTCTTCACCGTGTATAATTGTGTTGTCATTATACACAACTTTCATATAAGACCCTTAAGTAACAAGACAGCAGAGATGGCCAAAGATCCTAAGACATTCGAAGAATTAGTGAACCGGCCAGATGCGGACCTATGGCAAGCTGCCATGCTAGAAGAACTGAGAGTCTTCCAGAAGATCGGCCTATACGAGGAAGTTGAGAGACCAAAGGGACGGAAAGTTGTTGATTCTAAGTGGGTATATAAGGTCAAACAGGGACCTACTGGCAAAATAGACAAATACAAGGCCTGGTTGGTTGCTAAAGGCTTTACCCAAGTCGAAGGAATTGACTATACCGAAACTTTTGCACCAGTCACAAAGTTTTTGACCATCCAGATTCTCCTAGCACTAGTGGTGAAGCTCGATCTTGAAATCCATCAGATGGACGTAAAGTCAGCATTCCTCAATGGTGAGCTAGATGAGGAGATATACCTAGAGATGCCCCCAGGTTCTCATGACTCACAGGACTGAGTCTGGAAGCTCAAATGAGCGTTATATGGTCTGAAACAGGCACACATGGACAGTTATGCGGCACTGGGAAGTGGTGCATAAAGAGAGAGGATGAACATGATGCAGATAGACTGCACAAACAAGTGCAACTCACGTGCTCGAGTACGAAGTCTGTGGCACCAGGTGCAAAAGATGATGTGGATGAGACAGACTTCATGCTGCTGAAAGCTGCAACAAGGGGTAGTCTGCAGGATTTCCGCGTGAACCAGTTTGTGCTTCTTCTCATGCAAGCACAATGGCTTGAAAGTAGTCAAACATCCTCCTGCCAGGATCTTCCACCTATGTCATCTTCTGTGGAAGGTCATCCACCCGACCTAATGATAGATTGCAGCCCCAAACATCTGAAGGGTTGGACTGATGAGGTCAAGGAACAGGAAGCCTCCATCGCAGCTACATGTCGTAACGCCTTGAATCCTGACGAACAAATGTGCACTGATGCTCTCCTGACTAGTACTTACACGAGTGGGCTGCATGTCAACGGACTCACCATTTCAGAAGCCAAGGACACCGAACATGTTGTGAACCAAAATGGTGGTTTGGATCCTGCTGCTGTGATAATAAAAATTGGCAATGAGTATCACCTTAATGAGAAGCAGTGGGTGGCATTCCGCATTATTGCAGAGCACTTTGTGCACAAATTCATTGAGAGACAGGATGATCCTGCTGTGCCGCTCACTATGTTAATGACAGGCCCAGGTGGCACTGGTAAGACTCACATTGTAAAGGCTGTCCAAGCAGTCATGGAGTACTATGGCTATGGTCACATCATTCATTTCTTGGCACCGACTGGTTCCGCAGTGGCACTCATTGATGGAATGACAGTGCACAAGGGTCTTAGCATCAAGATCAAGTCTAACTCCAAAGGTAAAGGTAATCGCATCCCTAGTGAGAGTAGCCAAGACTATTCTGTTATCATCAGCATTCAAAGTAAGACCCAGTTGTGAGATGAATGGCGCAATGTGGAGTATGTACTAGTTCATCAGGAAAACCCTCTGATACAAAAATAGACTAAATATGATGAACTTTGTGAATTTTTTTCCAAGTCATGATAGTTTTGCAAAAATAGATAACTTAGCAGATTAGAGAACCTTTTTTACTGCCCCATGAAGTATTACTCCTGCGCACTAATCTAGAGATAATTATATGAAATTTCACAAGGCTTTTATGTAAACTTACAAAACATTATGAAAACTTATCTTGCACTTGACAGTTGTGTGTTCGACAGTTCATTCAGGATTTCATTACAACTTTTTACAAGAACAAATTAAGATTCAATTAAATGAGGCTATCTAAACATAATGAACTGCATATGAAACAAGGAACATTTACTCAGTCATGTTATAGCAAGACCATGATGACAAAAGAATTGAAAATCCAACCAAAAAGACAGTATGAGTCCAGAAATCTAGAACTACTCAGAGTCATTGTCCATGCTGGCAAGATTGAGAATAGCCATTGCATCATTGTGTGATCCTACATCACTGTTGCCATTCATGAAGAGTTTGCTTATGAGGGGTGGAGCATGAGTGATATACTACACAGTATGGAACTGGACTCACCGGATAGCCTCGAAAATATCAGCCATCAGTCTGTGAAACTTGCCTGGTGCATCCCGCCTCAATTTCTCAAGAAATTTTGCATGGAACAAGTAGACCTCACTGAACAAGTTACCAGTGAAATTGAACTTGGATGGAGATCCACTGGACTTCCAGAATAGTGCAGCATACACCTATGCATTTGTTGTCAATACATAAGCATGGTGTTAATTATAGATCAAAAATATACCGAAGTAGTAGTCAATGCGACCATTGGAATTGTTACCTCGGGCCGCTGGGCTTTGTTGCTTGCAATCTCCTTGAAGCGATCTGAAAACTTTACACCAACTGACTTTGGCCCATTGAAGTAGCGTCCTTTCATTAGATATGGCAAAATGTCAGCAGAGTAAGGCTTGTTCACCTGTGGAATGGCAACATTTTTATCCTGCAAGCAGTGCACAATATGAGAATGTTCCATAGCCTAGAGTGCATAATAACCTACATCAAAATGTTGTGCAAAATGATAAACATGGTTCACAAGCAATTTTTTAGCAGCGTTGACACAATCAGGACCAAGACAGTAATATGCAGTGATGTGTGCGCAAGCATCATCCTTTAATTCACTGCGAAAAAGTGGCACTCGAGCCTCAACCTGCATGCAAGGATAAAATCATTGTAGACTTTTGAAAAGCTGTTACTAAGGAGGCGACATACCAAAGTTGCAAGAGCCATACAATATGAGTCATCAGTTTTGAGCCAATTCTGGATGGGAGGGACACCGCAGGCGCTAGATGCTGTTACAAGTGCATCCCACGTGAACAGACCTTTCTCAGTAAGCTCTGGATATCCGTTGACAAATGTTAGGTGAACCTTGGCCTCTAATATCGCTCTTTGGACCACATGACAGGTGTCAAGGTCTTGGTCCATTAGCTTGATCTTTCCGGTATCAGTCCACACCAGTTTGGGTCCTCCAGTGGTGTGATCATGATCATGAACGTGGTCAGCCTGAGTGTCGCGATCTACAAGGTTGCCCTTTGAAGAGTTGCAGTGTTCATCTGAGGTTAGTCCACCGTGATAGTCCTCTTCTGATGGACTATCGTCTGCCCAGATGGGTGTCTACAGTCCATAACATAACATGACACATAGCAATCATAGGAGAACTCCTCACTTACCTCATGTACTCATTTTTTATCACATGCAGACTGAGGTTTTGGCTTCTGAGGGGACACCATTAAGCATGAGATTGAGAATCATGATGATGATGTATGAACTTACCCTAGTAGGAGCCCTTATATTTGGTTGAGCAGATGAGAACAGGAATGGTTTGACCGTTTGTGACAACTTTGAGGCAGCCATGGTTACACGAGGCCATGTAGGTTGCATCAACAGGAAGTCAAGCTGTTTGGCCTTCGAGACAAATGTTGGTATCTGAGGAGACCCATTGAATGTTGCAGTCAGTTAGCACTATGAACAGGAACAACTGGTATTTCATACCTCAGCTGACAACAACTTTACAATACAGTTGTCTGATTCATCTTCATGCCAGCATCCGCCTCATCGCCGCTAAGTTGGAAATCAGAGGCATCCTCGGGCTACCCCTCACATTGCTAACTTTGCCTTCAGTAGGTCCCTCACCAATGACTAACTGTTTGGATGTTTTATCTCCTGGAATAATGGGTAAAATAGATCGATTGGGTTTAGTATGAAATGACCTGAGCGCTTACACATACCTCGATATTTTTTAGGTGACATGGAGATTCCTGGGGCACGAGAACCAGCAGTGATGCCCACCATTCTGTGCCCAGTGGAAGATGTGCAATTCTTCTTTTTTGCAGGTGCTCTCTCGGCTGGTTCTTCTGCAGCAGGGCACTCACATTTTCTTTGTGCAGTCTTCCAGACTAGGTGGCAAAGTGTGGTAAGTGTGATATCACAAGCTTCAGAATAGACCAACTATTTGACTGACCTGCATTTTTTAGAGCTTTTGCCTTCGCATTCTGAACACCTGCAATGTGCATTCATGGCTTTAAGCACAATATTTGACTCAGACATGGTGAGTAAGCACTCACTCCGAACAGAACTTGTCACAGCATTGTCACTCATGGTGTAGACTTGGACTTAAATAGTGAATGAAGATGCGGAAATTTAGTGTGAGGCAATGAGTCCATGGCTGGCACTACATACATATATACTATAATACTAATACCAGTGACTTGGGACTTGGACTAATATTGTACATGTTCCAAAACAGGGACATATTTTTTGAGTCTCATTTTGGGTTGGTTCCCTGGAGCATTCAGGCCTATTGAAAATCGACAAGAATGGGCCGATACCTGAAGCATTATAAAACAAATATGAACATATTAGAGGCAGGAATAGCTCATCAATGATGCAGTAGTATAATAAGTAATTAGCACATTATCTAAGAGTTACAAAAGTATGTCTATCAATGTAGCAGTTGACAAAGAAGGTATGACATTCTTCGAGAACATTGTGACTTGTCCAGTGCCGTGGTGTAACGGCTCTGAACTTTGGGATGAGATGGATACTGTGGACAATATTTGAAATGGGAATGATACTTGCAACTCTCTCACCAGACTTGATGACATGACTAATTTTGTACATGCCGTGCCTCGGATCCGGTGTTACAGGGAATGGAGTAAACCATTCAACATATGCAAGGTGCTTGGGAGGTTGGTGTGTGGGAGGGAATAACAGCTGAGTTGTCACTGCTGGAATTGAGAAAATGATGTGAATTTGACCAACATGTAAGCCTGCGATAACATTATCACTGACTTGAAATAACACAAATTTGAAGCATAGAACTGTACCTTTAAGCCCGATGGCACCGGTACCATCATTAATAAGTGCTGTATCGAAATGTGCTGGTGCCATGGCATTCACTTGGAGAGCAGTGCGGTGTGGTTTAGCATGTATGCTATCCACTGTGACAAGTGGGTCACCATGTCCTTGAGCATCGGTCGATGTCCACTCTATCTTGTGATAGACAGGAACAGACTGACATGGTACATGGATACCTGCAGCGAGGTTTTCAAGGCGCTGCCGAGTCATAGCATTATCAGGATTCTGTTGTTGAACGATGTACCAAGCGAATGCCTCTCGGAAGTAAGTTGTGCCATAGTCTGTGATCAATGTTTGAATCAATACAGCTTTAGCACTTGGATGCTTGGTCATTTTTTGTGTGTGGTTAAAGCACAGGTCAGGTGGACGTGCTTGATGAGGAGCATGATCTCCATCAAGATGCCACTTTATGTACTGCTCGTGATGAAGAATCTTTTCCTTCTGCTCCAGCAATTGCATCATCTTAGTAAATTTGTCCTTGTGATTAGTTGCATGATAGGCATCCTTAGCGAGATCAATATGTAGCCTTTCTGTATACTCCGTATTATAGTTGTCTGTCATTCCAAAAATCCGAATCATAGATGTGTAATGATGCACTGCATGAAGCTTCGGAAGGTTGGAGTTGTTTCGGATTCTGAGGTCGACAAATATCTCCTTGTTGTCGTGAAAGAGAGTGAGAGCTTCATCCAATAAGAGTAATGTTTCAGAGCTATGGCATGGGTACTGTGTGAGGTAAAGAAAGTTGAGAAACCCACATACAGCTTTTAGGAAGCGAGATGAAGTGAGATTTCCAAGGAGTCGGATGTCAATGATGATGCCGAGGAGGAAGTGGCATACTTGACTATGCTTGGTACCACTGAGGCGAGTGAGACTGGTGATACCCTTTATGAACAATCGAATGTGGTGATTGGGAGGCAACCGACGACATTGTGCATCGGTCTCCGCCGCTCCGCATGCTTGCGCGAGCCATCCAAGTAAATGTTTGATAAGACCTTGATATAGCTGGTGTAGCATGTCAGGCATGATTGCCTGATAAATATTTGTGTAAGGCAGGTCCTCCCAGAACGGATGGATAATCGGTTTGATTGCAGCTGCACGACATGCCTGTACAAATGCCAAATCACCTTCATCAATCACGGCAAGAGCATCCAACACAGTGTGAAGATCATATATATTGAATGGTGTCGTATTGCTTTCAAATTTGTCAGTGGGGATATCGCACTTGGGGCACTCCATTGCTTTCACTCCAGTAGCAAGTAATTGCTTGGGATAGTTGCCAACAAAACATGTGAATAAAGGATGACAACAATGACATACACCATCACCACTGCTCATCACAAGCCTGTCATTACCAGCAGTGTTGAGAGGGGCCAGTACACAACTCATACATGCGTGGTAGAGGTTTGCGATGGTACAATGTCTCGAGGCTTTATTGGTGATATGCTCAAGGCGGGTAGTCGGTAGATATGCTAGGAGGATATGAGTGCAACGTGATGGTTTTCTGCGAATTTCTTTTGGGATGTTACCGATGGTGAGGTAGACAGGATATGCAGATTTATTTCAGAATAGTGTAACCTGCATTTTGTCACTCGATATGATAATAGGGATAATCGTAGCACCTGGACATTGTCGATCAAGCACTTTCTTAAAATTTCATATCAGTACCATAGGCCAGCATTAAGTTTACAATACTGTGCTTACCTGTGTATCCCACCACCACTGGCCAGTGTGCATATCATGGAATAACCGTATAGTCTGATCTTCATCGGCATAGTGATGCTCCGGTGCAAATACAAGAAAATCAGCGAAGTCGGGGTCACTATACAAAGCTTTGATGCATTTGATGATGTCTCTGTAAAAGACATTGAATGCTTCGCCAGCGACAATAATTTGTTCATGCAAGAACTTTGGTCGACCAGGGAGGTCCTTGTCGATCATCTTGTTTAACTCTTTCGAATTCCTGTATGAAAGGCCAAGGTGTTCGCTAAGCTAAATATATGAATCCAAGGTCTACAGCAAAGAATATACAACTGCACTGGTACGTACCCCATCAATTTCGAGTAAGTCAGTAAAAGCTGTTGAACTTGCACCACGTAGCTTTGCCCATTTAACAATGTCCCAATCCATCTGGGAGGCAAAGGGAGCATAGACATTGGCAGCACTGCCAGCATCAATACTGTATGTGGTATTTGCACCATGAGTAGGCTGTCCAGGTATTGGTTTGCCTGCCTGGGCATCTGGATATGGGATGATAACAAAATCCTCGCTGTCTTGTGTGATATGTTGCTCTATCTGTTGACGAGCTTCTTGATCATCTAATAATACTTCAGCATCAGCATCATCACCATCGTTACCATGTTCGGCAGGCTCCCATCCCTGATTGTGGCCAGTGTCTGGTATAGGAGGCTCCCATTCTTCATTGTAAGTGCCCTCTTCCTTGTCACTGGAATCATTCTTATTATCTGGCCACTCTAGATCACCTTCCTCATATGTACCAAAAATATCGCCCTCAAAAACAGGTGGTTGATCAAGCTCCTCTACAGGAATTGGTGATGGTGAGTGCACCCGCATGGGACTTTTCTGGGTGTTGGTATACCCACGGGAAGCAGCAAGGACAGCCATGCAAGGTGGTTACATACTACAGTGACCTATCTCCGTATAATACGAGGGAACGGACGTGCATAATATCCCGTATGATACGGGCCAGCGGACCATGGGCCCATGATAAAAATATTCTCGACTATGACAGATGGGCCGGGAGGCAAATTATTCCCGATGGAGGCGGGTGGGCCCATGCAGGGAATATATAGAGTAGATGAGTGGGCCGATGTAAATGAATATTAGGTAGACAGGTGGGCCGAGGTAGCTGGATATTATGCAGATGGGTGTATTAAGGTAGATGTGTATGAGATAGATGGGTAGGTACTTGTTATCACATTCACGGGTGGGCCCAGACACATATTAAATTAGACAGGTGGGCCGAGGGTATTATAAAATATTGTATTATACGGGTGGGCCCAGACGCATATTAATTAGACCGGTGGGCCGAGGGTGGTATACAATATAGATGGGTGGGCCCATGTGTATCATAATTGTAGACATGATGGAGCTGAGGTAGTTGTACATCAACCAAATCAGAGGAGGTAATAAATCAAAGTTACCAAGTTCCCGGAGCATCAGGTGATCTCCTGACATGGCAGTGCGAAGCTTGTGTTGCCCAACGAGACGCCAAGTTCCGGCCACCAGAATTTGAGTCAACTGTACCGAGTTCCGAGTTCCGGGACCCGGAACTCACCACATAAGTTGGTTAATACTTTTTGATGGTGCACAGGTTGTCTTGCAGAATGTGGAATCCGGGGTGCGAAGCTTGTGTTGCCCTATGAGAAGCCAAGTTCCGACCACCAGAATTGGAGTCAACTGTACCGAGTTCCGGGACCCGGAACTCAACACATAATTTAGTTAATACTTTCCGTATTAAATGGCCAACCGAAGTTGAGATGTTTCTGAAGAGAGCAGCAGGTGCTCTCTTGACATGGCCTCTGATGGTGCTTAGGTTGTCTTGCAGAATGTGGAATCCGCGGTGCGAAGCTTGTGTTGCCCTACGAGAAGCCAAGTTCCGACCACCAAAATGTGAGTCAACCGTACTCAGAGGAGGTAATAAATCAAAGTTACCGAGTTCCCGGAGCAGCAGGTGATCTCCTGACATGGCTGTGCGAAGCTTGTGTTGCCCTACGAGACTCCAAATTCCGACCACCCAAATATGGGTCAACCGTACCGACCTCCGAGTTCTGGGACCCGGGAGTCGACAAATGAATATCTGATGACCAGCGAGTCAACCTTACTCAGAGGAGGTAATAAATCACAGTTACCGAGTTCCCGGAGCAGCAGGTGATCTCCTGATATGGCAGTACGAAGCTTGTGTTGCCCTATGAGACGCCAAATTCCGACCACTCAAATATGGGTCAACCGTACCGACTTCCGAGTACCGGGACCCGGGAGTCGACAAATGAATATCTGATGACCAGCACACTTCCAATCAGGTAGTATTTCATTGAGCAATGGATAATAATACATCTTTGACAGCGGCCAAAATTATCCATGGCTCCCTTATCTGATCCTCTCTATCTCCACCCCCTATAACACCAAAGTCCGGACATCCAGCATTCAGCGTCTGATTTCCCAAGATTAACATCCAGCATGAACGGTTCTTCCCCTTCCCCTCCTGATAGCATAAACATCTGGCGCACTTGGGCCCTGACTGTGACTTATGAAGCAGGGGAATATACTGAACAGAAATTCAAGGCAGAGAAGACTGGAGGAGGCCCAGTCATACCTTCCCCCAACCTAGACACTGATCTGGTGATGGCGTGCGATCGCTTGGCTGATGTACTCATAAAGGCATCTAAAAATCCCAGTGGGTCTTCCTGCAGATTCGGAAAATTCTATTTATCATTCAAATTCCTGCATGACAGTTCAGATGCAGATGGATATTGCAAGATATAGCAAATTGATCTCCCCGAAGGACACCGGGCATAATGAACATAAAGAGGCGAGGTTGCTTGAGAGGTGTCCTCCTGGCCATGAAGGCAAAAGGTTGGTCGATGAACCTGCAATAATTCTTGATGCATCCGGTGCCATCATTGCATGGTATCTCCCAGACGCCCTGACAGACACCACCCAGGTGTGTAATATACATTGTTACTCGATGGATATCGAATATTAATGGAACCTACAGAAGGAAATCAGGGAGGCCACCTATTTGCTCTCTCCAAGCCTCGAAAAAAGTGTAAGGGCTGATGGCAATTGGCGAACTAATCAAAGGTTGTTCAACCGGGGCTCGGAAGATGTTGGAGCAACTCCCGGATGCATCAATCTATCTCCGGCATGGTTTCAACAGGGACACGAGGTAGGATCTGATGAGATGGTGATTCCAGCAGTCATACTTACCAATCCCAAAGAATGTGTCCGATCCGGAGGTATCTGCATCATTGAAGGGACCTTCCTGTGAGAATATCCTCAAAGCCATTGCAAGGCCAGCAGCCATCGCGTCCGCGGCACTCAGAGTCATGCATCCTGAGCAGTACTGGGCAGGGTTGAGAACCTTGTCAAACCTTGGAAATATAGCAGTAAGCAAGGATCTGCCACAGATGCCGGAGGCCCTGCAGTACTGGGCATCCGTGTTTAACACCCTCTCCATTATTTCCAATCGGGAAACCCCCCATCATCGAGACCACATGTCCATTGCTGAATGCTTCGACATTCTCACCACCGTGGGGGACTATTCTAATGCTCGGATGACAATGCCAAACCTTCAGCTGGAGTTCAAGTACAATTCCGGCTGTATGATTGCGTTTTCCGGAAAGATTGTGAGACATGGAGTGTATGATGTGGAAGGGGATCGGATTGCTTGGGCATGGTATATGAGGGATGCTGTTCATATTTATGCTGGTGTTCCATCATGTGGATGGGCTAGTGTGGATGGTCCATACAGTGTGTGAAAGATCAAACAAAGAGCAAGCATTGTGACCTATATACATTCCAACAAATGAATACCATGTACCAATTGTGATCCAGACCTCAATACTCAATTTTGAGCATTTCCCAAGTGATATGTGGGACTAAATAATTTGGATGCAAGCCTTGGTATTTGATAATTGGAACTCGGGACTTGACATATGGGAGTCCTGAGTGCCGGGGTACTTAGTCCCAACACCCGGACCTCAGCACGTGATATTTGAGACTGGGGGAAGATGTATAAATACGCTCAAATTAACATTTGTTATTGCCATACACATTTAACAAAACCCTGAACCCCGACATTGTGGACTCCAGACTCGACACTGTTCTGAATACCGAGTTCCGGACACCCAGGTCCCGAGTCCCGAATTTCGGAGGTCGGGGCTCAGAGACCCGGAGCTCGGCAACTGTGTTGGGTGTCAGGGTATCCAGACCATTGGAGATAGCATGTGTCAGTATTTTGCGTTTCATGGTTTATGTTGTGTGAATATGGAATCGGGGATCAGGGACTCGGTATTCAGAACAGTGTCAAGTCCCAGGTCACGAGCTCCGAGTCCCGAGTGCCGAACCCTGAGTCCCGAGTCCCGAATTTCGGAAGTCGGGGTTCGGCGACCCGGAGCTCGGCAACTGCTGGGTGTGGGTTTCGGGACTCGGGACTCGGAGCTCATGACCTGGGACTCAACACTGTTCTGAATACCGAGTCCCTGACACCTGATTCCATAATCACGAAACATAAACCATGAAACTTAAAATACTGACAAATGCTATCTCCAATGCTCCGAGTACCCTGACACCCAACACAGTTGCCGAGCTCCGGGTCGCCGAACCCCGACTTCCGAAATTCGGGACTCGGGACTCAGGGTTCGGCACTCGGGACTCGGAGCTCGTGACCTGGGACTTGACACTGTTCTGAATACCGAGTCCCTGATCCCCGATTCCATATTCACACAACATAAACCATGAAACGCAAAATACTGACACATGCTATCTCCAATGGTCTGGATACCCTGACACCCAACACAGTTGCCGAGCTCCGGGTCTCCGAGCCCCGACCTCCGAAATTCGGGACTCGGGACCTGGGCGTCCGGGACTCGAATGTGAGATTTTTGAATGCATAGAATATGTTACATCTTGTATACAATGAAGAGTGAATGGGACTACACTCCTTTGCCTTTCCTCAATTTCTCTAACATGTCAGTGTACATCTTCACCTCTCCCATCTTAGCTTCGATGCCCTGATCTTGCTCCTCCAGCAATGCTTCCATGCGTTCTTTGATGAATCTCAGTCCCATGAGTGGTGGAGTCGAAGTGTTTTTCAACTTCTCTGGAAGTACCAAAGCATCATCCTCAACATTAAGCTGAAACAGATAAGTCATCAATCAAGGTAATTCAGCTGACATCTTACCGCCCAATACTGGTAGTGAGAGACGCAGGAAGCCATTATTTCATCCCACTGCCATGGTTGATCAGGGATTGTGGTGTTTCCCATCCACCATGGACATGTATATGCGAACACAATCCGGGACGGATGTCCTGCAATTGGCTCATCATGAAATGAAAGGAGGTGGAATGAAAAGACGTCGCCCGGAACAGTGTTCCAGGTCAGCATGGGATACAACTTAAGGATATAAGCGACAGGGACCGGAAGAACCGACACGATATTCTGTGAAGCGGAGTACTGCAGGAGTGGTGTGACAAAAGTCTGCTCAAATTCTTAGCATTGACCAACAAAGTCATCAGGGCAGTGGTGACATACATTCATCTCCCATTGCAGCCCGGCTTTAAAATACTTGATCCAGTCAGCAGATAGACCATTGTTGGCAGCTTCCGTCCGATATTGAGAGATGATTGCACGGACGCGCGATCCAGCCATTGCCAATGTGCAGGAAATAGTTGCAAGGCTCAGCTTCAGAGGTCGGTAATGGCTTCCGGGATTCAGAGTGCCAGAAGTGGATGCATGAGATGCAGACATGGCTAATACAGGACTATGGCGCTGGCAATACAAGTGAAAGATGGTCAAGATGTGAAGATAAGAATCACTGATGGATGGATACGAAATTCAAACTCCGACATGGGCTGACCCGGACAATTCCCGGGTGTCAATTATGTATGTGGAAAAAGGGACTTCATGAGAAAACAATGTTCATTCATCTCCAGCCTCTATCAACACGTTTTGTAGGTCTTGAAAAGCTGCCTGCGCATCCTGTGCCAGCAATGAATACATGTGGGATTGCCTTCCGGCGTAGCATCCGTGACCCGGAAGTCGTTTCTCCAATGATTCCTGCATGTGCTCGCCCCATATGGTTGTTTTCCACAAAAAGAACTTACATGTCCAATCCATCTCGAATGTGACCAATAGCATTTCTTCCCTCCATCGATCCCGTAGTGCCTTTGCCCTCAGCCAATGGACTCGGTAAACTTGGCATGGGTCCAGTCAGGTAACCGCGGGATATGACATGCAAGCGGGAACTCACATTCTTCATTCCACGATTGATCAGGACCCCCGAGGTCGACTTCAACAGACCAAAACCAAGCCAAAGATTCATTTCGTTGACCTCGGGCATTTGGGTCGCCCACTGCAGTGCTGATTTTGAGTTGCTCGCGAAGCAGGGGTTTGTATTTCTGAAGCTGGTCTTGCCCCGGCTCAAGTTTCATCATTTGCTTCCTTGTCTTTGTATATATGCTGGCATGGAGGGAGACTGCCTGGTGCACCGACATCACCTGGGACCAAGCTCGAGTTTTCAGGGCCTGGGAATTGGCCTGCCTAACGGTTGTTCGGAACAGGATGGCCTTGTTGCAAAGGTAAATGCGGAGATTGTGAAGGGCATCATTGGCCTGCCCTTCACGAAGCGACATCTCCAGGGGAATCAGATCCTCTGCCATGCATCGTCTGCATCTATCAACCCCCAGGTTTGATGGCAATGGGATTACAGTTAGCTCGGGAGAGTTTGTCCATGTGTGAGATGTCTCTGTGAAATCCGCCAGGTCATCATCGAGATCATCTAGAATGTCTACGTCCAAGTCTTCAGGTTCATCATCTGCATCAAATCCCTCCCCGAGATGTGTTAGAGCAGACCGAGCAAATCCATCTATCTGGCCTTGGAGCCGATCTCTTTGACGGGCGATGTCTAATCTCTGTGTCTCGGTGGATCTTCTTCCGATCCTTCGGACCTCGATGAGCAATGCAATCTGAGCCTCTTCAATTGCTAACCCTGTTGATATCCATGTCGCCACAGATCTGCGAGAGGGTGCTGCATTGCGGGCGTTACCCTCCTCTAACAATCTAAGCTCGATCTCCTTTTTGCTAGGTGCTGAGTGCAATATTAATTCAGTCCTCGACGGAGACAATGGAACTCAACGTACCCTTTTTGATATTGATCTCATATTCATCCATGGCTGAAGGATCATTCAATCTGCTTGACTGAGCTATCCTCTCCCTGGCTAACCATTCTGTCTTCAAATGTAAGGGTGCTGCTTCATCGAGTCTGTCGAATGCCTTTCCACTTTCTAAGATACCATTCCTAGCCAGTTTGTATTTCCGGCATAGAGTCCTTTTCATGTGAATCATCTTGCAGAAATTGGAGTCATTCATCTGATAATCAAGGCATTCCTTTCGGTGGGGAGATGACATTCCCCGAGCAGCAGGGGAGATCAAATTGAGCCGTGCCCATAGCGTCTCCATGATCTCTCCATCGATCCGACCAATGCCTTCAATAAAGTTAGAAGCATATCGGACATAGCAGCTGTCCTGATGGCCATGAACGTGCCACAACCCAATTCCGGGAATGATGGTTAGTTGTGGTGCCATTTCTAGAAATCGACTTCGATCCACCCGAACCCAAAAGTGTTTGTTGTATTGACAATTAATATCATAGAAGGTGACAGCCCTGGTGATGCCTTCCATGTTGTGCCGGGAAGCCTCGCAAAGGGCATAGTCCATGTTCATTTGTCTGCAAGTGACCCATGGTTAACTCGTGAATGGGGAATGGTGGATGTGGCTTGCCTTTCGCCTTTCTGAAAATCCACCATGGAGTGAGGGACAAAGCAACCGTGTCTGGCACAGGCAACTCCCCCGATACCGGTGGACTCCAGCTTGTGCCGAGCAGCATTAGCTTGATTTACTGCCCGGTGATTGTTGCAGCTTGATTTTTCCACTGTGTCAGCAGCCTCTGCCAGGTGCATTTTATACCTGTCCTTTCCTACCATGAATCCAAGCCCATCGGACAGCCAAACTTCATCGAATGGCTTAATGGGATGCAGATGTTCGGCTTTGAAATTTCCGTCCATCACAAATGACCGGGTGTATTTCCAGCTTGGATCCCTAGTATTATTATGGAGGCCACATAGGTTGAGAATAGGACTCACTCATCAAGAGATTCATCCTCTGACAACAGCACATTAATCCCAGGCTGAGGACATGCCGGGCAAAATAATGCAAGTTCTCCTGTGCTCGGGTTATCAGAACGATGGCCGAAGCCATGCCATTTCATTGTCTTCAACTGCCTCCACTGTCGAGCGACCCTCATGAGCTCTCTGTATCGGTCCTTGCAATGTGCTTTGTCAATTCATTTCCATTAATGGCTCAGGGTCCAATATGGGCCAATTAACCTATCATTAGGCTTTGCTCAAAGTTCAACTTCGCACAATTCATTAATACTTTCACCTTGAAAATCCTTAGCCATTTCTGCATTTTGATTCACTATGGCAAGAACAGGTCATTCCACCAACACGACTTCCGGAAGACACAGGATGCATCAACCACAGTCTCAGAAGCTCACGGACAAGGAGATTTTGGAGTTGAAGAACTACCTTCCTGAGTGGACTGCTGCCAAAAGGAGTGAGAAGCGAGCGATTTTCACTGCCATAGCAAGGGCGGCCAGGTTGTTTGCTCCGAAGTTGGACCAAAAACAATGGAAAAAGAGGAAGCAGGTGAGGCTTCTTTGTTGCGTTGAAAAACTAAATTTTTAATGTCACATTCTTTCATCAACTCTTAGGTGTACAAGACTTGGTTGTTCAACAACAAGAAAAAGAAGGAAAGGAAGGACATGATCAAGTATGGGAGGAAATGGACTCCCAGGATGGTGGTCTACCAGCAAAAATGCGAAGAGGTGCTGAAGAGGATTGAGGATGAGTCCGGGGTAAAGCCAGGAGATCCTGGTATGTTCAAACATTATCAGGCGGCGGTGAAGAGAGTCATGGCTGAATTGGACGACGACGAGTTGGAGAAGGCTAAAGAAACAGCCGAAGAGTGGTCCAACAACTGTCCGCCTCCGGAGATACAAGCACAAGTCGCTCGTAAGAAGGGTCCGGCATATATGGAGCACTTTTCGAACGAGATGTGGAGGCAATGTGGGATGAGAGTGTTTGTGATGTCGGCTTGGAAGAATGAAAAGGGCGAGGTGCTGTTCGGGATGTGAGTACATTTATCCATAGATGGAGATTTTTCGTCTCAAAATATTCATGCAGGCATGATGATAATGAGGCCTTAGGAGATGGGGACAGCTTCATGAAGACGAAGGACTGGGAGGACATTGAGCCAGTGTGGCAGGAGTACGCGCAGGAACAGTTCGGTGAGTGTGTGAACCATGTATACCAGATTGAACATATTGAGCATCACAATGATAGGCGCCGGGGCACGGGATGGAGGACGTCAGGTCAAGGGAGGTCGAAAACGAATTCGAAAACCAGCCTTCGAACTCGAAATGGACGGGGAGGGTATGCCACTCCTTCCGGACATCACCGACACCAAACTTGAGGAGAAGAAGGCCATAGTAAGGGCCTTTCTTACATCGCACTATCGTGAGTTTGTCGTCGCATCACCTGACAAATTGTTCAATGCATGGACAAAGGGATATGCTCCGGGAAGGACAAGGCGGTTGTGCCATGGAGTGCCATTGTACAAAGTCAGGATGACTTCGTGGCCCGGACGTATCTTCCGGCGGATGTTGACTTGAAGGAACCTTCGAAGCTGCAAATTTGGGACACCACTACCTTGCTCCAGTTTTGGCTCGCTCGGCAAGAAACAGGCGAAGGGCCCACATTTCTGTTCAAAGCATGGAAGAACAAAGATGGGGACATGGTACCATCTGTCATATCTGGCAACTCGCCCTCTCCTCAGACTCGTATAGTGAGAAGGCAACAGAGGGTTACCATCCGAAGGCCTCGGGAGTCATCGACAGAAGCCGAGAGTGATAAGGAGAGTGCCACTCATCATACGGAGCATAATGTGGATGATGACCTGGCTGACGGGAGACCTCCGCTGAAGAAGCCCAGGACGGGAGGTCCTACACCCAGAGGGCCGGCAGTCCCACGTCCAATTCCAAAGCCTCGCCCGGCCAAGCCGGCCAAAAAAGGTGCATTACTGACATCACGATTGGGAGACCTCCTCGCTGGGTTAACTGACAACGCGACGGGCGAGGTTAGAGATGATGTCGAAATGGAAGAGAGTATCACACCGCCGGCACAGAAAAGGAGGAGGGGCACTCGAGTCACTGTTGAACCATCCACGAGGACGACCCGGAGTAAGTTGCAAATGCCAGTAGACAGTACACCTAGAGTCACCAGAGCACGGGGACGCACTTAATGTACATATATGTTCCTGCCCTCATGTGTAATGTCATATGTGCTATTATGTATATGTCAAAGTACTAACAAACAAATTATAATTGCCAAATGCCAAATCTCGAGTACCAAGGCCCGAGTACCGAACCCTGAATACCGAAGCCCTGAACGCCGGTCACCGAGTACCAAGGCCCGAGTACCGAACACCGAGTACCGAGCCCCGAGGCCCGAGTTCCTAGGCCCGAGTTCCGAGGCCCGAATTCCGAGCCCCGAGTACCAAGCACCGACTACCGAGCCCCAACTGCTGAGCCCCAACTACCGAGCCCCGAGTACCGAGCCCCAAGTACCAAGCCCCAAGTACCGAGCACAGAAAACCTGGCAGCGAGTACTGGGTAGGTAGAATATACAAGTACCAAGGACTACCTACTGAGTAGTACTGCAATGTGTCTACTATCAGACATTGATCAATATTTACATGTTACTTGAGTCCTCAAAGGCCTCAATGAGGGTATCCAATACCTTCAGCATTTCGGAGGTTGACTCCCTTACCCTTTGCATTCTCCAGAGGTCCGCATCTGCTTTCCGCAGCTTGTCGCATGTTTCAGCCCATGCCATCCTGAATGGTCTGTCAGCCTCAAGAATTTGGGCTACTGTAGGGGCAGGAAGATTTCCATGACGCTGTTCGTAATCTCCCAGGCGATCTACAATTGATTGAACTTGCAGGATATTAGCAGGGATAAATAATCAAATGTTGTATACTTACTTTCAGCTTGATCATAAGATCCGATTGGCATGAACTCCCGAACCATGGCACGCAGGGCTTCATTGTTGAGTTCCGGCTCGGGCGATTGACGTTCGGGAGCTTCTGACATAGCTTAGAAGATAGCATGAGTAAAGCACATGAAATGATATGAATATACCTACAAGGTATGGGTGCACCTGGTACACCCGGAGTGGCCGGATCGGGCTCCGGAGTTGATTCATTCACTGGGGAAATGCCATGAAAGGTGACCATGGGATTGAAAGGGTAATCTCACCAGCCATAGGAAAATCGGGTATAACCGGAGCATCATCAGACGAAATCAAGGTATCCTCCGGACCAAGATACAAGTCCGGGTCATCATACAGGGCCAGTCCATCCGCCAGAGCCGGAGATGATGGATCTGGAGATATGTGATGAATTTGCACATGTAAAATATGTAAATTTGAATTGGAAAACATACCGGGAATTACATTCAACACATCCAAACCACCGGACGATCCAGAATCAGAGTCTAACTCATCATCCGGCCCAAGGTATATATCATCTAATGGATCTGAACCATGTCAGATCAATTGACTGAAATCAGAAAAAACAAAACATACCAAGGGACATCCGGGACTGGGAGGACTCATCCACATCCATTAAAGTGAATTCAGTGACCAGAGGGTCATGAAATCTGACCCCAGGTTGAGAGCTCATGATATCTGATGAGCTGATGCACTGATGAACTGATTGATAACTGATAACGTCGAAGTTCAACAGATGGCCGGCGATTGCCGAAAGTTGAACGATGACCAAACAAACACAAACAATCAACGAATTTTCAACATTGTCCTTCAATTGTATTGTTTCTTTGAAACTTCATTCTATTGATAACAGATTTCACCCTGCTTTCAACATTCTCACATCTGTCAACTCCATCCAAATGTCTACTCAAGTTCAATCTTCATTGGCCAACCTCAAGGCATCCACTGCTCAACTTGTGGGCATCATTGCCGGCGCCCGGCACATCCCGGCCGGCTCTGTGGACGTCCACCTTGTTCTAACAAAGCAGGTCACCACTCTTTTGGTATGTTGAACTTATTAAATTAGTGTAACATTAATGTTTGTAATGTCCGGGTAGGCTGACATCATCCGGGCCCATGAGAAAGGGGAGTACATCCCTGGAATTGTGGCGTCCTGCTCTAAGGAGCTCATGAGGGTGCGTTCCATGACTCCCCGGGCTTTGCCCAACTGGCACAGCATTGGCCACGATGACCCCCGGGTGGCTAGACACGCCTGGCGCAAGCAAGTCCGTGCCTGGGAGGCGTTGGGTGACAATTCCTGTGATCTCCCTGTTGTCCCTAACGTTTCCACTGGCCCACTCACTGTCAACCTTCCGTCTCCACCTGTCCCTTCACCTGCACTTGTCCCTTCCCCCACCCCCGTCATTCCCTCACCTCCGGTCGTCGCCGGACCTTCCGGCAACACGACCCCCGAGGTCCGGGACAAAGGAAAAGGTAAGGCCACCTCCGTCGACCTGTCGCCGGAAGTTGGGGGGAGCAACAAGAGGAAGTCTCCAATGATTTCGGGACACTCCTCCCAACCTCCAAAGTCGGCGCTGAAGGCTCGCAAGCGTGTCAAGTCAACTCAACTCCCCAAGTCGAAGCCGTTTGTGGAGTCGGAAGATGATGAGGACCCAATTGTTCAGGTATGTGTTCTGGCTGATTTCTGACATGCTCTCAATTTGTTGCAGCCGATTTCGCGTGGAGTGCCGGAGGTCGTCCTTCCCCAGCGCACCATTGTGGTAAGGAAGCCCCAGTCGCCTCGGTCACCCGGTTCCCCCAAGAAGCAATCATTTGGGCCTGCTTCGGTAAGTTTGCATTTTTCGTTTGGACTTTAATTATATGCTCATGTGTCCACAGCTGACTGCCGGCAGTCGTCCAGAGGTTACGGTGAGTCGTTAGGACATGTCCGGACCTCCCATGTATAATTCCCACTCATTCCCATTACATTAGAAATCTCCCATCAGTCGTCCGGAGGCTCGGGTAAGTCCTAGAAGTTTTCTAGAAACTCATGTGTATTAACAATCTGTCAGGCAACCTCCGGCAGGCGTCCGGAAGTTGAGGAGGAGTCCAATGATACTTCCAGTGCTTCGGATGGTGACCCGCCGGCCACTACCACATTTGATATCACCATTCCCAGCCCAGTGAGTACTCAAATATATTCCCTCTAGTCCATCTA